TATATTATTTAACAATAATTTACGGTTTTACCCAAAAGTACTTATATAATTCATTGTGTTGTAATAAGTACAATTATTAAAAACGATGAAACTGAAAATTAAATTGTCCCAGTCATTTTAATTAACAATAATTTTGAAATTTTGACGGAACACTTTAGCCAAGTTAACGGAACACCAGTTAAGAACCACTGCTATAACACCTAGTCAAATATATTTATTAATTCCATCATCTGGTACTTAAGATTTAATGTATAAAAAGTTTAAATTTTATATATTTCAAACTATATTTATTTATATATTTATTAATTATTTGAATATTGATTTCGATTTTTGCTATCCGTCATTAATATTTAAGTTAAAATATATGAAAACTTCCCTAATATCTACATATTAAACTGTTTCATTTGTGGAAGTAGAAAATAATAACAATACAAAAGTCAAAGATTTTTTTTACAAAAGTAGCAATTTTCATTTAATTTTCGTTATATAGATAACAATTGTTTGGCACAATATAGTTTTTTAGTTTCGATGCGAAGCTGAAAAGGTATTAATTTTACTATGATGTGTTCTTTTTTTTGTCTGTCTGAAAAAAGTTCCCCGTAAATGGGGGAAATATCCAAAAAATTTAAAAATCGCTAATTTTTTTAATTTTTTTACTTAAACCTGCCATAACTTTTTCAAAAATTACCAAATCAATATAATTTTTGTTTATAGATGCATGATTTCTTTACCTATCATTTGGTATATTTTTTTATAAATTTAACCCCTTACCTGCCCATAGGGGGGATTTAAAATGACAAATTTTTAACTTAATTTCTGAAAGTCTTCCAAAAATACTGACACTTTTATATATACCTTAAATTAAAGCATATGTAATATACATTATTATGAAAAAAAAAATTTTGGACTTTATTTTGTCTTCACGGTAAAAAATCGTATGCTATTTTTATGATAAAATTCTCGATTTTATATTTTAAAATTTTAACTTTAAAATGTTATAACTTTTTGAAAAATGTATGGATCAATACAACTTTTTCATGAGAAAAAAATCGGACCATTTCCCTTAATAGAGGGAGGTTCAAAACTTAAAAATGCATATTGAAAGTAGATTTTTTTCATAATAATTTTTTTAAGAGTTCTGGAAAGTCTGACACTTTTATATATATCTTAAATTAAAGCTAATGTAATATACTTTATTATGAAAAATAAAAATTTCGAATTTTATTCTATTTTCATGGTGAAAACAGATATCAATGTTAATAAATAAAATACGATTTTTGTAAGAAAATTCTTATTCATATTTTTAATTTTATAATGCTATAACTTTTTGAAAAATGTATGGATCATTATAATTTTTTTAAGATGAGTACTATTTATATTCTTCGTTTATGTGACATACTTTTGTTTTAAATAAAACTATCTCCCTTTATATATTTATTATTATATATATATATTTATATATTACACTTCTAAATCGTAAAACCTGTAATCAGAATATAAATAAGGAAATAGGAGATCATTTAGCTTTTGGAACAGTCCATCAATTTTTTAAAATTAAAACTATTTTCAGATTTATATCGAAGTGTTTTTTATGATAGTGATTTTAATCACTGTCAGATATCATTATACTTGACCCAACTATATCACGTCGCCACTGTTCAGGATTTTTTTTAACTTGTAGTAAATTATATGAACTATTATACCTATATATACAGGGTGATTTTTTTATCATAACCCACTCAATTACTTACAGAATAATAATAATTTTAAAAAAAATTTTTATTACTATCTTTAGTTACACATTATTCTTGAATTATTAACTATGTAATACTTTTTAAGTTCATCCCTTATGCCTTGGAAGGGGGTCAACTTTGTTTTTTTAAATGGTAACACATATTTTTAATTTAATAAAATGTTTGAGTTTTTAATTTAATAGTAAATGGCATTTGAATTTTTAATGAAACTTAATTTGTTTATTAGATATAAACATTTAAAGTTTCAAATTTTTGAGTTAATATATACGTATAATACACTAGGGATTACAAATACAGGTAGCTAATTGGATTTTTATGACATCGATATTAGCAGGTACACAGCATTGTTATTATCAATGATAGTAAGGTACATTGTTGTGAGTTTATAAATACACTAACTGACAATGCAAAAAGTATATCTATTGATAGACATAATTGATAATAAACAATGCGTGACTGTGATAGCAATATCATAAAAAACCAATTAGCTACCTGTATTCGTAATCCCTTGTGTATTTTTTTTTAACTTGTTACATGAATGTTAATATAATGCATATTTAAAGGACTTAATATTTACAAAACATGTTCAAATATCAAGTTGATAATTAACAAATTAATATATATATATTAGGGTGTCCCTTATTTTGAAAATTTTGGAAATTCTTCGAGCTCACCCCCCAAATTTGTGTGTATACATATAAAAAGTGACAACAAAAAATTTCAGGCCGATCAGATAAGTTTAACCCGTGCCGACTTGGGGTTGAAAATCGGCCAAAAGGGGTACTTTTTTAGTTTTTAGCAATTAACTCGTAAATTAACGCTCTCAAAAAAAAAAAATATGTGAACTAAATTGTAGAACTAATTGTTTTGTATAAGTTAAGTCCTTACAGTTTTTCTTTTAAATCCATTAGTTTTCTAGAAAAATGTCAAAAAACATAATATTTCGTAAAATTGCCGAAATTAGCATATTTAAAAAATTTCATACTGCTTTTTGACAAAAAAGAAGCTACAGTTTTTTCTAAAAAAAAATATCAATTATCCAATAGTCATCAAAAAATAAAGATATCAAAAATTATTATACCTGAAATAATTTGTCAATATCACACGATGAAAGAATAAAACGTTTGCTAGGGTTTATTATTGACTCATTATTAAGGAATACAACCATTAATTTTTTTATTTTGTTGAAATGGAATCGTCAAAAAATGTTAGAGCAGCTGTTTCCTATGTTAAGTGCCATAAATGATTATAAATTTTGTTTAACGCTGCTTTCGCAATTAACGGTTGTTCATATAACTTTAATTCTTTGATAAAATTTAAGTCGTTATTCGGAGCTTTGGACGGTTCAGTACAGTTAAACCAGGCTTTTAAATAAAATCGAATAATAAAAATACATATATCTCGAATAGTATTTATTTTAAAAGTTTTTAGTAAATACTGTTTTCGGTAAAAAAAAACCTTTAAGCAATATATTGCTTTACTCATCCAACGAGCTTGGTGCATGGCTCCAGGAGGGTGTATTTTAATTTTTTTATCTGAGTCACCATTTAAAAAAATTATAGATAGCTTGAGCAATTCTTTATAATCGGATGATTATCTCTAAAACATTCGATTCCCAACATTTCCCTAGAAAATTGGAGAATATCATTTCGATAATTTTCAAGTGCAGAGCACATTCGACGTCATCTATTCCACAGATCGTATTAGAAACATCAATATTATTCCAATTTTTTTATAAGTTTTTAAATATTAGATGCGGTGGTATCGCAGCATAGAGCTTGGACGATATTTAATAAGTCCCAATCATCTAACGCACAATAGCTTGTTCATATCCCGTCGAATTTTTCAGTTTCGGTATACCAATTAATAAATCTAAATTTTTACTAGTTATCACAATTGGTAACCTATCAATGCCTGAATCTCTTACATTTAAAGCTGGTAAAATCTTTCCATTCCAATGCACAGTGACATAAATAGAAGGACAACTTTGAAAATTTTTTTTTATTAAATTAGCCCGTTCAATTCGCATAGCATCACGGCATCTATGTATTGAAGACTTATTTATAATATGAGAATCGACGTCATGGCCTAAAGCTTCAACTGTTGAATTTAACATTTTGTATTTTATGTAGTAATTTTTTTTTTATTTATGCAATAATATTGAGAAGTAAGTATAATTATGCGTTTAAGTCAAACAAATACATCACATTACAATATAAATGAAATATATTTAAATTAAGCAATAAAATTCATATATTAAGTAAAAATCGTAATATGATCGAGTTATTTCAGCTATAGCAATAAAACAATCGGTTCAATGAAATTTGTACTTATTACTTTTATTTCGTAAAATTTAATTTTAAACAATTTTCGTATGAAACATTAGGTCGTATCACATATGGTTCGTCATATATGATGAAATATTTGTAAATATGCTAATTTCGGCAATTTTACGAAATATTATGTTTTTTGACATTTTTCTAGAAAACTAATGGATTTAAAAGAAAAACTGTAAGGACTTAACTTATACAAAACAATTAGTTCTACAATTTAGTTCACATATTTTTTTTTGTGAGAGCGTTAATTTACGAGTTAATTGCTAAAAACTAAAAAAGTACCCCTTTTGGCCGATTTTCAACCCCAAGTCGGCACGGGTTAAACTTATCTGATCGGCCTGAAATTTTTTGTTGTCACTTTTTATATGTATACACACAAATTTGGGGGGTGAGCTCGAAGAATTTCCAAAATTTTCAAAATAAGGGACACCCTAATATATATGTCAAAAAAAAAGAAACATACTTTAAGTATTCTTAAAAAAAATTTTCATTAATTCATTAATTTTCAAAAAAGTTATAGCAATTTTAATTTAAACAAATTATTTCAGTGAGAACTGAGGAAAATGGTAACAAATACAAAAATATAAATAAATAAACAGATCTATATAAAATCAATACCATCTCAGCTTTGCATCAAAGTTAAAAATTTTTACAAAACTATAATTATTTTAAAAGAAATCCTATGTTTAATGATAAATCAATCACATTGTATAAATCGGAACTTTTCAAGAAAATTTAATTAATTATCTCATAAGCGAGTTTTTCTTTTATTTTTAAAATAAAATAAATTGTAGCTTAAAATTATGCATTAAATTAATCAATAAATCATTCCTAGAATATTTTCTTCTCGAATTATACAAGCTAATTTCTGTTTTTTTTTTTTTTTGTTAATCATTCATTGTACTTGCAGTTTACATCTTAAGCATAATTGGAATAAGTCAAGGGATAAGTCGACTTTTGGAATTTCTACCAGGATTTGATAGCTTTAAATACTGTTGGGTACCACCGCCTAAGTGTCCAAATCAAAATATCACGTTTCATCTATACACCAGGTAATAAAGTTAAAAATGAATTTCTTTTATGCTAAAAATATAATATAATATAAGATGTAATAAACATAGAGGAAGTCAGAACTGTATTAGAGATAGTTCAAAAAAAATTATTTAGGGAAAATTTCAATATTAATAAGTAAAACATACAAATATTGCCAACATACTATTGATCAAAATATAATATGTATTCGAATATTAAGAGTTATAATTTGTATGATGTGTTTATGTTTATATTATAATTATTATCATAAGTTCGATAAAATCTTTGGCGATGAGAAAAAATGTTAACTTTTCGTGTTCCTGAAAAAAATTGAGGCTTCAACTTTATGTAATGATCCCACGTCAAAATCTTAAATTAAATCCGTGGGAACTCCAAGTAAAGCGAATAAGCCAGGCAAAGTTAATAATGATTATATCCATAATTTTGTGTTATAATCATTGTTTTATTATTTATTTAGATGTTGACACTAAAAATTTAAGTGTCATATATAAATTTTGTAAATGTATAATAAGAGTACAGTGTGATAACGTCATATCTAACATATTTTTAATTTTATTTTTGATAACATACAATTTTAAAGAAAATTATACTCAAGTAACATATATATTTTAATTGAGAATGAAAAAGTACGTTTCTTAAGCATGTAAAAGATAAAAAAGTGATGTTTTGTGGTTTTTATCTTTCAAATGAGATGAATTTTATTAAATTAAAATTAAAATCAGTAAACATTTTTAATTTACCGTGTTACTAGGATAAAATGAATAATTAAAATTTTTATTAATTGCTTTAACTTATTAAATTTAAATATAAAATAAAGTTCAAGAGCATAATTTAAAATTTGAGATCATTTTACAGCATAATAACTTATTAAAAGATATTTGACAACAATATTTTGTACTAATTTCTCCTAATTCTAACCTAACTTATGCTTATCCCTAAACTTTATATGTCAAAAAAAAAAGACTTATGTACAATATTATATTTAAGCTAAGCAATTTTGATTTAAGTTATTTAAAGTAAACAGTTTCATATATATGACACTATATTTTTGTTTGTAAAATAAATCTAACTAAATAGAAATCAAGACAAATTTAACACATCTTGGAACTAATGAGTCCAGATTTGAGAATAACTTAAATCTATCTAAAAGCGCTTTTATACAATTATTGTAACTCTTAAATATATAAAATAAATAACTTACAAATCAAAAGTTAATAGCAAAAAAAAAAAAATCAATATTTAAGTTATTTAACAAAAAAAACAATGAAATGGAAGAATTTTCTGTGAGCTAGTATTTGATTTTTTAACCGCAAAGATTGTCGGATTAAAATGAATTATTTTGAGCAAAGACGACTTTCTTAAACATCTACAGTGTAAAACTTCTCATGTTTTTATTAAGCACTTTAGAAGTTCTTTCGAGCATCTTCGCTATAATTCCTCATTTTTATGACTTTTTTTGCAAAAATAATTCATTTTGATTTACGTTATTAAAGTATATTGTGTATCTATGTATTCCCCCGCGAACCTTTTTCGCTACTAACGCAACATTCTTGTCAGCTATTAATTTTCACCATGTAATAATATGAAATAATTTTTAACTGAAAATAACTTTCGAACACGAACGCATAAAATGAGAAAATTTTATCTAAAATATTAAAATTTTTATCATAAACAAGGTTGCCAGATTTCGAAAACTCCAAAATCATATTATAATTGTTAATTTATCGTACAACATACTTTTAAATTATTGTATAATTTATTGGACTGAACCAAAAATGTTGCAAAGTGAAAAAAAAATGTCAATGACACGTGGACTTTTTAATGAACAAGTAGAAAATGTAGAGAACTTATACCATTTTACCTAGATTATATTATTAGATGATGTACAATATAAACTTAAATTTAAAATCAACTAAAGTGTGTACTTTAGTTCTCCAGTGTGTACTGCCGAACATAATAATATATTTTTAAATAACATTTCATAGATCTGACTATTTTTATTCACTAAATTAAAAATATATATTTGTCATAAAATTAATTTGAATTTATTAGTCATATTTTCCGTTAAAATTTACTAGGTTTCATTATTGCTCTACAAAATTATAATTTTTATACAATTACACAATATATAATTAAAGCAAAATAAATAGATACATTATAAAAAGAGTTATTAATTAAAACAGGTAACTTACTTTTGAAGTGTCTTCTAAGTCTAATAGTATAGTGAGATGTATAGTAAGTGTTGATATGATGTGATAACAAAATTTTCGACATTTATTCTGATTCCTACATTGATCTTATAATCTTATCTTTATAAATTATTAGGATTTCTTTGTAATTGTTAACTAGAGATCATAAATACGTTACTAACTTCTTCTTCTTCGTCTCTTTAATTTAACTACTTGAGGAAGGCCACACTTATCCTAAATTTACACTAGACACGATATTCTATATAATCTACATTCACTTCAGCCGTCTTCGTATCACATTCAATAACATCTCTCCATATCTTTTTTGGTCCTCCTCTACCTCTTCTTTCTTCAATGTTAACTTCTATAACTGTTCTTATAGCTTCCGATTCCTCTCTTTTCATAACATGACCAAACCATCTAGGTTTTGAGCCTCATCGGAATTTTCTTATCACATAACACAATAGGTGCTCTCTGCACTTCAATCACATTTAATCACATTTAATCCCGTGTCTTACATCCTCGTCAATACCAGCGCTCTTTTGCAAAACTAATTCTAAATACCAAATTTCCACCTCTCCTATGATATCCTCGCTTATTTTCACCGATCTTCTCATTTTACCTACCTCATGTTATCCTTTGTCAAACTCGTACTCTATATGATCTGATCTTACTTATTCTTAATCCTTTTCATTCAATAACCGATTTCCACACTTCTAGCTTATGAATAATTTATTTCCCATTTTCTCCTATTAACACTATATAGTCAGCGAACAATGTGCATCACGTTTACTTTCCTTGTATTTCTTTAGTAATTTCATCCATCACTATATAAAATAAGTAAGAACTTAAAGCAGAACTAATCCCTAAAATATTCTGTTACTTCGTCCATACTTTTTACCCTGGTACAAGTGTTATCATACATATCCTTTATTATATTAATTTACTTCTTCATTTTTCCACTAGATAATGCAACCAACCTTGCCGTTAGATTGGTGTTAGGCTTTCTTCCTTAATTCTGTAGTTGACCGAATTATGAGCACTCTAGCTCACATTTCTTTGATTTCATTTAAGTTCTTAATGATGAAGTAGAGCCACCAACGGTAAACGGACAGGTCTTTTTGACAAAGCATCCAAATCATAAAGTAGACCTTTTCGAAAACCGAGTATCATTCTCAACAATAATATTTTTATAATGAGGTGTATTTTTATTATTTTATTTTATTATAAATTATATTGATTTTATTAATCTGTGGAGAGCACGTGTTTTTCTTTTCTCTTGCCAACGCCAGTGTTCAAACTGCTCCTGGTATTTTCCGATTAACATTAAAGGATGTATTCCAATACTGTCTGCGACATTTCTTATATTATTTGATTTTTTTTAAATATTTTATTTTATTTTTGTCGTTACCTTATTTTGTAGACACTATTTTTGATAAATTCATACTTTTTCCCATGTTTAACTTAATTTTCTTTGTCAACAATTAAATTAAATTTCCTTATTAATCATAACTTCAAAATTTCTTTTTGTATTTATTAAAGTACACGCATGTATTTTGTTCCTGTTCCTTAATCTAGTCACGGGCTATGGTATGTTTTATATATAAACCACATACAACTCAATTATTATAATTATAGTTAATAAATCACAAGGTGTTATAATCATTTATATTTAATGACATATTAACTAATATTTAATTCCAGTTATGGTTTGGTGATCATATTTGATAGGTGTGGCACCTCGTCTAGGTGGTGGCTACCCTTGCTATCATAACTAGTCGTTATGCAAGGGGCAAACGACGTTATAACTACAGGCTGGCAATAAACCTACTTGTATATTAAACATTTAGTTTCACAAATTTGTTTAAATAATAAGATTATACAAATCAAGGGTTTTTATTACCATAACAATTCACCCGTTTCTATATTTATAAAATAATTTGTAGAGGTTCTACTTATAGGTACAATTACTTAGTTATGTCTTCTTCAAAAAGAGAGATAATATGATGAAATATCTAATTGTTTTGTTTTATTTGAAAAAAATAAGTACTGGTATATTTTTTTCTTAGATATTTTTTGTTATTATTCATCTGTTTTGAGAAAATCTATTAATCATTAAAGCAATGGCTTTGTATTTGATTTCCAAGTTTCCTCAAGTTTAAAATAGTATTGTTGCAATTAATCCAGATAATGTACACAATGCATATACATTTGTTAGTCCATATTAAACTATTTACATTTAAAACCTCTTTTTTGAAGGTTTAAGACGTAAAATTCTTAGAATAAATAAAAAATAAATTTCTGACATCTTTAGTTTTATTCACGCAGAATTCAATGTAAAAGTGGTGCGAATAACGAAACAAATTCAAACAAAAAATGACTGCATTAAGAGTATTTCATTTTTTTAAAATATACCCCAGAAACCCGTTTATCTATGACATATTACAAACGTGCAAAAGTAACGGATCAAGTTTAAATCTAAAGGTGAATATAAATACAAAAGTATGTCTTCGGATTTATTCCTCATTGTTATTGATGCCCTTATTTCAGACACAAATTATTCCAGAAGCGTACGGCAGTACATTATATTTAACAGTGTGCACATCAAGGCTAGGATACTGAGTAAATCATAACTTGAGAATTAGAATATTTATAGGTGTTAAAAAAATATACATAAATATGTGGTATACATATATACCACGCGGTCCTTAACAAATGTAGAACATTTTCAAAGAGACATATTAAAATAGAAATTTAGATAATTTATAAATGTTTTGAAAGCATAAAAACTGTTTCAACAACTGCGTCTATCTATAAGTGCAATGTAAAAAAAATATAAGTCTTAAAAAAAGTATACCTCCTAAAAGTAGAAATAAAATTATGAACCTACATAAGTAAAAAAATAGATATTATCTATGCCTATGTATAACGTAGACGTTAATTTAACATATTTTATTGGCAAAATTTATTTTTAATATCAGGATACATAAAATTCAGAATTTTTTTTTGATTTATTTGTCATTATTATTTTTTAGATACACTGATGATTACGTTTTGGACAATTCAATACCAGACACACTTTTATGGGCACCTTTTATATTAAATGCTCCCATTAAGCTTCTTATACACGGTTATACTGGTGATAAAGATTATTCGCCGAACATGGAGCTTAGACCAGGTAAATTACATCCCGTAACACACGCTATTTTACTTTCATAAGGGATTTTGTCTTAACAAATTTTGCTTTACACTACAGTTTTAAAATATTAAAGGAAACACTTTCCGGAAAAGCTATAAGTCTGAAAATTCATATAAATAAAATCACTGGTAGTATACATAATTAAAATAAATTAAAAGTATTCAAGCATTATTGTATGCTTTTAAATAACATTTCATTTTATTTTCATTGAAATGTTCTATGATTTAATAAAAGATTTACCTTTGATTATTAAAAATCTTATATCAATAAAATACACATTTATTACATAAATAACATAAAAATTTTTCTTGTTTACAATTTTTATAAGAAAAAAAATGTTTTATATTTATTTTGAACTCTCCTAAAACGATTTGATGGTGTTTAATCAAATTCTTGCAACATTTAGGATTGTGCCATCTAGTTTAATCGATTTTTTGTATCTTCAAAGTTGAATTTGAGTGTCATTTTTTAAAAAAATTCGAACTTTCAAATATAACTTTTTTTAGTTTAATTTAAGATCATGAAACTTTAACAAACAAATAGATCATCATAAAGATTTAAAAATATTAAATTTAAGCGCATTTTGAGTAAATATAAAGTAAAGTATTGCTGTAAATACAAAAAATATAAGAAAATCTCGGAAATTCACAACTAATTCTAGTTGTTTTTTATATAATTTTGAAGTAATGTTTTATTTTGAAATTATTAGAGCAATAATATAATGCACTCTTAACTCTAAATATAACATCCAATTTATCTTATTTATTAAAATTATATCAGATTTTATATCTAGTTTTTCCTAGTTCTAAACTAAATCTATATAACACTAGTACATAGTGGCGTTGTTAGAAATTAATTTTGGATGTCGCGCAATGAAACCGAAACAAAACCACTGCAGTCAAAAACGTGCTTAGTGATTTTATGGTAAAAGAAAAAAACTTCTCCCCAGTATTACATTTTTTCAGCAACATATTTATAAAAAAAATAAACCTTTTAAGTATTTTAGTGAAACAAAAAAAAGTGTTTGAATTTCATTTATAACTTACAATTATTTATCAAAATTATAATAGTTTTCTTTATAAACGAGAATTTAATTCATAAATTAGTTACCAAATCGATAATTTGATTTAATCAAATGAAATATCTTTTTTAAAAATAATAAAAAATCGATTTTATTTATGTAATCGATTTAATTTACCCATTTAATTCATTGTTATACGTGAATTAAACCAAAAAATTAACAATTAACAATTAAGTTAGTATTATACGTGCTAAAAAGAACTTAAGAACATAATGAATTGATATAAAAAATTACATAATCAAAACAATTGATGAAATTAAAATAGATGATGTTAATTTTTATGAAACGTTATATTTTGCATAAATTAAATTGACCTAACAAAAAATTTTAATAACAAGTTACTAGTAAAATTATAATACACAGTAAGCAATAATCTTATCAAACTAGTTTTTATTCATAATTTTGTTAAACATTCTACTTAATCTCTAAAATCTATCCTGATAAAATTTTTACGATTAATTAGTAATATGATATCAAATTTTAACACACTTCTTAATCTAATAATGAAACCATCAAAAAATACGAGCATAACACTATAATATTTCTAATCTTGTATATCTAATGGAAACCAATTGTTTTAGCAAATCAATTTTGTGTCATAAGTATCGAATGCTAAATCAAATAATTTGTTTGATACATATTTTTTATTTTAAATTCTAGTTTATTTAAAGTACAAAAATTTAAACATTATATCAGTGGATTACAAAGAATTGGTTAATGAGCCATGTTATGTGCAAGCAGTTCACAATGTACCACTAGTTGGAAAATGTACTACATTGTTTTTGAAAGATCTGTTTCGTTATCGCAGTGACTTAAACATTAACGATTTACACGTCGTTGGGTTCAGTTTAGGCGCCCAAGTAGCAGGTCACATAGGACGATTGACAAATAGTTCACTTCAAAGAATAACTGGTATTAATCTATGATTATTTTTAATGACTTCAAAATTCTTAAAAACCAACATCCAAATTTATATATTTGTTCTAAAAAAAAAAAAAAAAAAGTTTCGATGGTACTCTGGAAAAACTTACTAGATCTAGAATAGATTTTTTTTATATTTTCAAATAACATTCGATAAGATAATCCTGAAAGTATTACCATATGATATATAGTACTAAATTCTGTTACTTTTCAATTAATTTTGTCGGCGTTGCACAACAAAGATAGCAGTCTTATTTTTTAATTTTTACTTCTTATAATTTTGAAACATATCAAATTATATATTTAATTTACATAAATAATGAGTTTCTAAGAAAAATGATAGATACTATAATAATATATATTTGTCATAAAAAGTCAATTTTTTTTATTTTATTTAAATTATTATTATTATATTTAAAAATTATAAAACATAAAAAAAATTAAGTAAAAAATTGATGACTTGGCCGCGCTACTCCTCATCTGTTTGAATAGTTAAAACAGGACCGCGTCAGCTAGGTGTACCAAGTAGGGTTACAAAAGGAAAAGTTAAAAATTTAATTTAAATAAAAAAACAGAAACATGGTAAATAGAGCATTGGAGAATTATCCATATCTTTCTCAAACGCCCTACTTACCAACAAGCCAGATAACTTCAAACATCAGATCATGCTCACTTAAACGTCCTAGCACCGGGCCAAAAAACACAAACCATTAATTTCTTCAAGACCACTGAACTTGAGTCTTTTTCTTCGTCTTAATGCCTATTATTAGAAACGCTTTGATGCAAATCTGTAGATAGTATTTAATTCTAAGAAATTGGTAGATAATTATATCCAGATTAGTAATTCTTAGATTCAAAAATATATAATAGCATATTTTTTGCACATAATTCACAACAAAATGGCAATCACTTGCACATAAAAGATCGTCGGGACAAATTTTTTTTCTTTTAATTTTTGAGGGTAATGTCTTCGGCTAGATACGATTTGTGATCTTTTGACATATTGTTCATCAAAATCGGTCCAATGAGAGCTGAAAAAAAGTGGCAACAGACACAAAAATAAAAAAAACATCATGGTAAAATTAATACCTTCTCAGCTTTACCAGCAAATTAATACCTTTTGATCTAGTTAATATTTAGTAGTACTTTTGTTTTTAAATAACTATTATACTTTTAGACTATAATAATATGTTAGTTTTATTCTTCTTCTTCTTCTTCTCCTTCCTCACATTAATCCCAACTACTTGGGGTCGGCCACTCTTATCCTAAACTTCCACTTGAAACGATCTCCCACATCCTTTACACTCACATCAGCTGTCCTCATATCGCATTCAATAACATCCCTCCATCTCTTTTTTGGTCTTTCTTTACCTCTTCTTCTTTCAACATTCATTTCTACAACTGTTTTTACGACTTCCGATTCTTCTCTCCTCATAATATGATCAAATCATCTAAGTCTATTTTCTCTCATCTTATCCACGATTGAAGCTACAGCTATACTCCCTCTTATATGCTCGTTCATTATCCTATCTTTTCTAGTGACTCTACTCAACCTATGCCAACACCGCCTAATATTTTCCATACTTCTACTGGTACTTCATCTGGTCCTACTACTTTATTCTTTTTCATTGATACCACAGCCTCCCATGCCTCTTTCTCGCTAATTAAATCTACCAATCTCTCATACCACGAGATATCCTTTAATGTCTCCTTTGGGTACTCCTCATTCAGTAATTTTTCAAAATACTCTTTCCACCTTTTTTTCACATCATCATCACTCAAGAGTACCTTATAATCAACACCTTTTGTACGCCATATATAATGATAATCTTTAGACCTTTTTTCTCTTACTTTTGCAAGTCTATAGATTTTTTTCTCGCTTTCCTTTATTCCTAGCTTATCATACAACTAATCATACCTTTTTAACTTCGTCTTACTTACTACACACTTGGATTATTTGCATAGGCGTTTATACTCCATCCAATCTCCCTCGAAATTCCACACTGTCATCTCTATTACCGTCTTTACAATATTTTACTCGATTTACGCTCTCTCTTCCACATAAAATAATCACTCTGTTAACTATTCCTCCCATTCTTATAAATTATATAATGTTCTTCCCTCTTTCTATAATAGGTATTAACCACAGCAAGATCATACGATACTGCGAAATCCAGGATTCTTTCTCCAGCCTCATTCTTCCCACTAAAACCCTCCATGCATTCTTTCATATCCTCTCCTCTTATTACCTACATGTCCATTCATATCTCCAACTATCACCGCATCCTCATTGCCCGTTACCTCTTGCATTACCTCATCTATCTCTCTCCAAAACACTTCCTTGTCTATTTTATCACATCCTACTCTGCTCCACTACTTTTTCCATCAAGATATAAAAATATTCATAACTAATGACATACTGTTCAAAAAATTATTATCAACCAGTCATTTTCTTGTTGGATTATTATCTAACATTTAATCTATTATAACGTATATATCCATAAAAAAAAAAATAAATACCCAAACTCTTATAAATCTTAATCTCTTATAAATGATAAAGGATAAACCTAAAAAATATTTAACCTTGTTATAAATCAAGAAATTAATCAACTAAATCCGAATATTTTTTTTCAATTTTATCATTAGCTAAGAAAAATGTGTCTTGTACTGAATTTCTCTCTATATAATGAAATATAATTAATTAGATGAATTAGTTTATTTAATTAGTTATTATTTAAAAGCATTATTATGAACACATAAAACTTAATAATAACAGATTTTTAAAATATAACTTAGTCATAAAACCATTTATAGAAAATATACATAGCAACTTTTAACTCTTTATTTCTATTACACATGTTAACTTTTAAAATGATTGAAAAAAAATGTCCTATCTATTCTGTGCTATAACTATAGACGAAATTTATGGGTTAAAATTGAATAACTGGTGACATGCAATTGAATAAAACTAAAACATATCATTAGAAATTTAATGTGATATTTATGTGGTTAATGCAATAAAAGTTATTACAAGAATTATTAATTAATAATATAATTATTATACTATGAAGAAATGGTAAAATAAAAATAAAAAACTTAACATTTTATTAAAAAATTTTTTTTTTATTTTGTTTTGAAATTTTGCAACCCTCATACCAATGCATGGAAAATAATGTTGATTTTTTGAAATAATTACAGTGAAATATCTATAGTTTTACCTCAAGGAAAGATATAAATTAAGACAAACCTCTCAAAAAAAAAAAAATGTAGACATTAAAATAAATAAATCTTGTGGAAAGAGTAGTCCGTATTACCTCCTTCAAATACACTACTGTTACTACTTATTTTATTGTTTTAGACGTCTTTTAAAAAATATTGGTGATATCTAAAAATTTATAATACTATTATAACTTTTTAGATTAATTTAACACATTTTTTCTGTTTACCATCGAATTACATAAGGATAATTTATTTTTTATAATAAATTATAATTTGTATGATATATGTAGTTTATTTATTTCAGAAATATAATTAATAAGTTATTTTTGATAAGGTTTGGATCCAGCTTCCCCATTGTTTGATGCTTATATAATTTCTAACGAAATGCTTGATAAATCTGATGCAGCATTCGTCGACGTCGTTCATACCAATATAGCCTACAAAGGAAAATCATCTCCACTGGGTAACATAGATTTCTATGCCAATAACGCGTTTATTCAACCCTCATGTGGTTTCAGTAAGGCTCAATCAAACATTACATAAATAGTGTTTATTTATTTTAATATTAACGAATTTGAATTATTGTAATTAATGTGAATTATGTTGAATTTAAATAATAATCTAAAATTTGTATTCTCTTTCCACTATGGTTTTATGGTATTCAAATCTGGGGCTGTGCCGCTCCATCCAACATCCAAAAAATCCAATCCTTTCAATCCATTTGCCTACGAACACTCACCAATTCCCCTAGGTACGTCCCTAATAAAACTCTTCATTCAGATCTTCAAATTAGTTATGTTAACAATATTGCCAAAACTGCTTACCTAAAATTTCACAACAAATTAAACTCTCACCCAAACCCTAATATCCAATACCTCTATTCAAAGCACATCCCCGACAATCCACCAAGAAGATTAAAAAGAAAATGATGTAGAGACCTCCTATAGGAAAAAAAGAAAAAAAAAATGAAATCAAAAAACAAAATTCAAAGTAGGTAGCTCCATTGGGTGCCCCCCTACTGCATGCTATTCAAGTCATATTGTAATTTTTTTTTCACTACTGTTAACCCATTTACGGTTGTGCATATATTTTGTATAGATGTAAATTTTATAAAAAGTTATTTGAATAAAAAAAAAAAAAAAAAAAAATTTGTATTCCTAAAAACTATTTAAAAATCATTTAGCATGTGCTTCCTTGAAGTATATATAATAATGGCCCTCTGCCCTCTAAAAACTTAAGTGTTGTATCTACTAAATTAGAAAATTGTGATCAGGTCATATACCGTGAATTTTAGTTTTGACAATTAAAATATTTGCGGGTTGATACAATTTTTTAATTTAAAAATTCGCACACTTTCCAGACATTTTCCATGAGGAAGGCAACGAGCAAAAAATAAATCCTTTAAATAAACCCTTTACCTAATAATACAATTTAATACGGAGGTTTTTTTTTCTTTTTGGCTTACAAACCTTGAAAGCCTTTTGTTGCTTTCATTACTTTTTTTCATGGTTCTCGATCCTCTAAGTCTTCTAATCTCATTATCCCTAAATTTTCCAAATCTTTGTTCACTCTCTCAAGTCAAGTCTAACAGTTTAAAAGTATGCGTTATTAAAACATCTTAAACAATATGATCATCATAAGCTAACTGTGTATATTTTCCGATTACATCTACATTTTTAATGTTTTGTGTTTCTCTTATCACTCTTTCTAAAATCAAATTAAAAAGGTTAAGAGATAACGCATCCCCTTGCCCTATAAAAAATTTAAATTTCGTTTAATTTTTTAATTAATTTCATAGTTTGTTCTTAACTTCAAACTGTATTGATGTTTTTACTAAGAAACTTAACGTATTCTACCGGAAGTATTACAGTTTTGAATAAGTTTTCTGAGAAAGTCGTAATCTTTTAATGCTATCCATAACTGACTTCTGTAAATACTATCAAATGTCTTTTGAAAGTCGATAAATATGCATATTCATATTTATTTTCCGTTTGATATACCAACTTTTCATATGGGCTATAGCTAGTGGCCAAGGAAAGTTGGCCTCCCAATCCTGCACTATACTTTATAACATTATCATCAAAATNACTCTTTCTAAAATCAAATTAAAAAGGTTAAGAGATAACGCATCCCCTTGCCCTATAAAAAATTTTAATTTCGTTTAATTTTTTAATTAATTTCATAGTTTGTTCTTAACTTCAAACTGTATTGATGTTTTTACTAAGAAACTTAACGTATTCTACCGGAAGTATTACAGTTTTGAATAAGTTTTCTGAGAAAGTCGTAATCTTTTAATGCTATCCATAACTGACTTCTGTAAATACTATCAAATGTCTTTTGAAAGTCGATAAATATGCATATTCATATTTATTTTCCGTTTGATATACCAACTTTTCATATGGGCTATAGCTAGTGGCCAAGGAAAGTTGGCCTCCCAATCCTGCACTATACTTTATAACATTATCATCAAAATTCCAAGTACTCTAATAAAATTTCATGATACTTCGTTTTCCAGATTTATGACAAATCTGAATTTTTTTTTTCAATTATGCTATAAAAAGCAATTTTTTATTTTATTATGAAATTTTTTTTAAGTATCTACTCTTGAATTTTTGAGATTCTTTGAAGCAAAAATAGATTATAAAAAAATATTTAAGTTATTAACTTGAAGTCATATTGCTAGCTAAATTAGTTGCCATCATCCACGGAAAAAAGAAGTTCGTTAAAAATAAAATGCTTTGCAAAATAGAAAACAAATTATTTTACTTAAGCTAATAAGAACATTTATTTTAGATGTCTTTGAAATATTTGATAAAGATTGTATTTAGTTTTTATATATGCTTATAATTAAAAAATATATATTAAAAACTGTAATAGATTCTTCATGTAGTCATGTTCGAGCAGTCGAGTATTATGCTGAATCAATTATGGGAAAGACAGACTTTTTGGCAGCAAAGTGTATGAGCTATTTGTTATATACATTTGATTTTTGTTCAGCATCAAATGTTAGCAGCCTAGTTCGAATGGGTGAACATACCCCAAGAACGTAAGTTACTTAAATAATTTAAATTTATGTTATTGTATTATAACTTAACCCATTTGTTTTTTTTTTAGTGCAAAAGGAATATATTATTTCACAACTAATAACCAATCCCCATATGCTCAAGGAATAGAACCATATAGAGATATTAAGATGAAAATATCGTCAGGATTGAAAATATCTCCATCAACTCTTTCTTTGTCAAGTTATTAAATCAAAACAAAAATTTTCTTCATAAGAAATTTTTCTTTTAAAATGTATTTTTTGATAATAAAAATAGTTATTATTTGTTCAAATAGAAGCTACAAAATTTTAGAAAGAGTAATCAATTGATAATATATTTTACAAGTTTATTATAGTTAAATTATATATATATATATTGTAATATATCACATACATACAATATAGATTGATTAACTTTGTAAACCATTTTCAACCAATTTTAGTTTTTGAAATTGAACCCCTAAAAAATAAATAACATACATGTTAAAATAATGTAGTAAAGATTTATAGTAAAATTTAACATATTGTTTATGTTGGAAAAGAATTAAAAAATTAAACAAATGAACTATTTAACCAAATACAATTTAAGTAGGAAGTTAGTTTTTACATCAAAATACGTACAGTAAATGGTTTATATGAAATTATCACCAGAAAAGTTAGAGGGATATATCATAATATCTAGAATTATCCTGTATTTAATAAAAAATTTAAAAAATTCAACGACCCAAAATTATATGAAATTAATTAAATTATTGAATTTAATTAATTTCATATAATTTTAAAGGAATTGAAGTTTTTTTGGTCAAGTTTTTCAATTTGACTCACTAGTTACAAAATGTTTGAAATACAAATAAAATTATTGTATTTTTGTTCGATTTTATATTTATATGATTTTTTTATTGTAGTTTCAGTATCTTTTTGTTGAAAAATGTTGTAGAATATGATATTATTTATTTATTTTTTTTTTTTTTGTAAAAATACAATTTAGTAACTAGTTTTCATAAAATATGCATTTTCAACTAACATTTATATGTCTTTTAATCTTAACTGATTTTTTTTTTTTTGTATAAATAAATTTATTTAAAAAAAGCACTTTTTGAACTTTATTAAAAGATAATATATGAATCATGCATTTAAAAAAAAATTTAATTATTTTTAACTAGTAAAAATAAAGAGAGTTCTTATGAAATGAGAAATTTAAATCATATGCCATTAAATTTTGTTAATATAAAGTATGGAGAGGCTCATAAATATAAACGGGTGGAGGATTTCCTCCACCACTAAAAAATTAAAATTTAAGAAAATTACATGTATTTTCATGCAAATAATTTAAAAGAAAAAATTAATTTAGCAATCCCCTTTTTTTTTCATACAATATTGCTTATAAATCCAATGATTTTTTAGGAAATATTCCCCGGAATATTGTCATTTTTTTATATTTTGTTTAGAGTTATGAGTATATAAATAAACTTAAAGTTGCAAATGTCTCAAAGAACAATTTTATTTTACCAAAAACTATTTATTTAACTATTTTTAATGTTTCAAGTACTAACCAATAAATAAAAATACTGTATTAAATTAACTTTATACAATATTACTAATACACAAAGTTTAGTTTTAGTTTAAGTTATTAGAAAAGTGGGCAAGAACCGTCCATGCACTCAGACCTGCAAGTCTATTATGGAATTACTTTAAATGTACTTCTACAATCAACTTCAATTTAATATATTATTTATATTATAATGGTTATCACTCGCAGCAGTGCAACCAATTGATACAAAATAAAGTACTTTTGACCAAAAATGCCCCTCTTGAACTATCTTTTAAACTTATATAGTCATATTTATTTAATTTTAATTTGATTTAAACTACATCAACATAGTATAATTTCAGCCCTATTATTATTTTATTTATGTCTGATCGATATATATCTATTGATTACTAACATTTATAAACTAGATTTTACTGCTGATCAACACAAAACTACAAAAGTCAAACTAGTCTAATATTGATTTTCTAAAAATCTTAAAAGTTTTTAATAATATCTATACTTAAAATAAGTCATTTAAGGTACATTAGCTGCATTGAAATGTTGGGCCCTGGGAAATTGCTTACATTGCTTCCCTTTGCACCACCACGGAGCCTTTTAAAACCTAATCCCAGATATTTGTAATATAAATATTTCATGTGCCTCAATATCTACACCTTTGATGGAATTCAATTCCATCAATTTCACTGTTTTGGCCAAACTAAATTTTTTTTAAAAACATGAAAAATTACCCATGACTTTGGTGTGTTGATTTTGTACCACTTAAAACAATGTAAGGTGATTGCGTTTGTTTTTGTTTGGATTGTAACATATTCAATGTACCAAGAGGAGTATCTGTTGAACTCATTTTTTTCATCAGCTAAAAATAATATATATATATATATGTATTTGACATATCCTATTAAATAAATGTTTATAGTATTTAACTTACTGCTTCTTGTTCAGCTTTTTTAATACGTTTTTCAATTTTATTTTTACCAGGACCTTTACCGTGAAATTTATGAGATAAATATCTAAAAATGAATTTGTAATTAATAAATGGTAATTTATTAAAGAAATGAATAATTGTCTTCTTCTATTTCCTCGTCTCTATTCCAACTTCTTGTAGTCGGCCTCCTTATCCTAAACTTTCACTTAATATGATATACCACATCATCTATGCACATATCAGCCATCCTCATATCGCATTCAATAATATCCCTCCATCTATTTTTAGTCTTCCTCTACCTCTTTTTCCTTCAACAATCATTTCTATGAATTGAATGTATAAAATAATATAACGAAAATTGATTATTTGTTGTTAGTTTTAAATATAACGTCTTTTTCTTCTTCTTCGCCTTCATCCCAACTACTTGGGGTCAGCCACTAAGTTTTGTTCAGGATTCCTCATACTTTTTTGACAATAATTTTTACGCCGGCTGTTGACATGACGCAACCTCATTAGTCGCCTCTTACGACTGGCAGAGGGGCCATGGAAGTATTCTTAGCCCCTATCCACAGGGAAAAGTTTTAAATAGAACGTAATATAATAAATGTGTGCAATATAAAATTGAATATGAATATGAAATTCCATGAAGTATAGTATTCAAGGCTTCAAACTTGCAATAGGAAACAATTACCATTTTTAATCAGTTGGAACTGTAGTAATATTTTATAGCAATTAATTCAAGTTTCAATTTACATGATCCCTTAAAATAGCTTACCATTTGTTAAGAAAAAATAATTTTTTCTCATTACTTCAAAAAGAAAATAATAATAAAAATATAGTTTTTTTTAAATTAATTGCCAATCAATGTTGTACACCTTGAATACAAATATTATATTTAAATTTAAAAGACTATGATTTACCGAAATGCTTCTTTTTCACTTAATAAATGACCATCATCATCAATGTAATCCAATTTGATATTAGGTTTATATCCATCTTTTTCACGAAATTCCACTGTAGGCCCACTATATCTATCTCTTCTGCTGGCTTTTTCATCCTCGGCTCTTAAATTATTATATATTAGTATTAAATATTATTATTATTATATAATTTAATGTATTTCAAATAAATTTTTATACTATATTAATTATATTAAATAAACTGATTATTTATTAATCTAACATAATTTTTTGCACCAATTTCAAATCTTTCTTTGCATATTTTAGTTGTTAAAATAAACTCTAAAAAAGGTAGAAAATATGTAAAGAAGGATTTTAAATTAGCCCAAAAAATGTAACACATCTTTCTTATTTTAGGTTTGTTAACTATTCAAACAAGTACATGCTCAGACAAATTGATTTTACTTACAAGAATGCTTTGTCTTCAATAGAATAATTTTTTGCTTGAAGATGAGCAAAGCGAGAAGCTGATGGTCTAGCATTTTCTTCTTTTTCAATGTAACCTTTGCTCATGGCCAACCTTAAAGCTCCTGCAACACCTTTACCCAAATCTGGTTCTGGTTCCAAAATAGGTTTACTATCAATACTTTTCATGTCAATTAATTTTCTCTCTGAAACAATTGAATGATATGTTACTATTAGTTTGATGATATGCTAACACAGAAAAATAATTTTATTTAATTTTGTTCCAGGGATAAAATGTATTTACTTCAAAAAAAAGGTAGCTTCAACTTATTAAATTTTAGAAAACGGGTAAAATATTATAAATATAAATCATTTTAATATTGAAAACAATTGTGGCACTCTATAAAATAACTTGAAAACCAATGCAGTGAATAATTTTTTTGATTATATATGTTATTTATACACAACATATGACAAGCCATGTGATAAAAATTACTAAATACGTGTTTTCTATTAAAAATATGTTATCACAGTGGGGCAGTGACACAGTATGGACGTGGCCTAGTTGGGACAAGATAGATGATATATGACAGTGAATAAAATCATTATCATAAGAAACACTTCAAAGCAAATCTGTAATTAGTGTTTAATTTTAAGAAATTGGTGGATTATGCCAAAAGCAAAATTGACACTTATTTTTGGTCAACTTCGACTGCCATTTGCACATAGAAGATAGGTCGTAAGTACAATTTTTTTTTTTTTTATCTTTTATATCTTGTGGTATATTTGTCTAAAATTGATAAATTGTAGAGTACTACTTATAACAATTTCATAGTTATGTTTAATGTAATGTTTTTAAATTTTAATTATTTAAGTAGAATTTTATTCTATGTAGTATACCAGGCTACTATTGTTTGTAAAACTTTTTAGCATATTTCATCATTTATATATATATTATGTATTTATGTAATTAATATACTTTTATGTAATTAACTATTATACAATTTTTATTATGACTCATTTAGAAGGTTTGTATAAAGAATGAAAATCATTGAACAAATCGAGAAAACGAAGAAGTTTGACACAAATTGGTAAAGAACAAAAATTTATCAATAAAACGATTTTTCAATGCAAAATAATACACACAGATGCTATGAATACAATGACCTGTGAAGAAATTAAATCATATTGAAATAACCTAAGGCAGAAAGGTTATTGGAGAAGTACTAGTAAAAATGATTGTTTTGGTATAAATCAAGCCTAAAGAAAGAGGAAAAATAATAATATAATTAAGTTTTTGAAATATTTATAATCATTATACAATGTATTATTGATACATTTAACAAATTTTAAAAGTTAAAATCATTTATTTTCCTTTAAAAATAATATGCAAATTAATTTTAACTTTAAATTAATTGTTATCATTCATTGTTTTACAACTACATACAACTTTAACTGATAAGTTTTAAAAGATATATTTATATTCACCCATTTCCACTTCTTTCCAGCCATCATTAGAATCATCAGAACCAGAATGTTCTTGTTTTACATTATTCCTTTCATAATCCTATGAATAAATGATACATATAAATTTAAAGACTTTAGTAGTTAACAATATTAAAATAAAAAATTATACCATTAATTCTTCAGCTTCTTCTTCTTCTCTATTACCAGCTTTTCCATAAGTCGGTATATCCCCTAGTGTTCTACAAAACTCTGCAGTTGAATTTAAAATGATTGCGCCTTGAATATTGTTATCATACTCATCTTTCTAAGAATAAATAATTACACAGTATAAAGAGTCATTCATTTTAAATATAACACTCATTTTTTTAAAAACTATTGAATTTTTTTGTAAACAAAAATATGTTTAATTAAAAAAATTCTACAGTAATATATACTTAAATAATATTTATTTCTTCCTTTTATGGTTGGAAAATTTAAACTTTAGTATAAGGTTAGGAACCGAAATGATTTCCCTTTATCAAAATTTTTTATCATATCTAGATTATATCTATATTGAATTTTATTCATGAATTTATATGGTTAATAATTGTAAAATCCAAAAGTAATGAAATCATATTTAAAATTTTAACCAAATTTAAAATTAGATTTTTAAAGTCAAATTTGAAACATAATTAAGGTTTCAAAGATGATCTCATATAATTTTTTGTTTATAATGCCATTTTTTCAATATTAATAAAAAATAAAAAGTTGATTAAAACTTTTGGACTAGTATTTAAAAAGTTATTAACAAATTAAAGTAACACTTAATAGAAAGTAAAGAGTAATTATATTTTTATAACTTGATATTTCTCATCCATACTCATTTTCTAGCCTAGGTATTAACATTCTAAATACTAGTCATTCTCTTAATCAAATCATTATTTATTAAATAAGCTAATTAATTATAAATCCCATAAAAATGTGTAAATTAATATTATGGATGATGATGTATTTTGATTTCTCATCAATAAATTTTGAACATAATTTCAGCTAATTGTTGAATAGATATGATATGTATGAGTAAACTTTGATTGATGTGATTGCCTTCAGCAGACCTTGTGAATATATTCAATAAAATATCATTCAAATATCATTTTCAAAATCAGAAAAAAAAAAGATTATGAGCTTCAATTGAAGCTTAAAAAAGTATACATTTTACATCTTATTTATTGGATCCTTGTTGTAAAGGTAAATACTTATCACCTGAACAACATGCTAGTTCTATGGAATGTATTAATAATAATAATTGAGAAAAATACTTAAAGAAAACAAAAAGATCATTTTAACTGAGCCAACTTAATTTGGAAATTCACTAATACTGCTAATTGTTTTATATGACAGAAAAAAATGAATAGTAGAACAAAACCAAAGGACATAACATATTAAATGTTTGCAAATTTTCGGGAACTTTAAATCAAAATCTTTAAGCAATTATAAAATACAACTGATTGATCGGATAAAAAAATTATAAGTGTTGAAGTTTTTATTGTTTAAAATTTTTTTTCTATACAAGAAAATTAAAAATTGGGGATCCTAATAAAGAAAAACTTGAATGGATGAAAAACATTGATTTAACTACATACTATTGTAGTTTTTTGAAACAAACAATATTTTCCATTGCGAAAATAAAAAATTTTAAACTGTTTACAAGAAAATGAGTCTTAGCCTCAACAAATCACACCGTGATGAACATATTGAACATAATGAATATACATTAAATCACTTAATTAATTTAACTAGGTTAAAAATTAATATTTCTATAAATATATAAATAATTAAAAAAGTACTTACAATAAGTAAATCTTTAACATCAGGTTTCTTTTCAATTATTTCTAATTGTTTCAGTTTTCTAGCTTTTTTTAATGCTAATTGTAAGCCCATATCATCTTCATCATCATTTTCTATTTTAATCTCAACATCCACTAAATCACCTTAAAATAAAGATAATTATAAATCATTTAATATCATTAATACATACAGTGATTATTAACATCGCTTACATAAATATTATCGCATTAAACATTTTTTTTTAAATTTACTATTAATTTCAATGTCACTTTATACACTGTACTAACACTTAAAATTTTGTATTTTATAATAAAAATTTATTCAAATTACCATTTAATACATCTTCAATTTCATCAAGGTCGTCATTATCTTCTTTGGCACCATTTTTATTTGCAAGCCTTAATGATCTTTCTAATTTATCTGCTTTTAGAGGATTAATCCGAAGTTTCTTTTTCTAAATTAATATAAAAAAAGAAGAATATTAAATAAATCAAGAGAAATTTTTTAACTTCTAATAAATTCTATTTTATACCCCTATGCATTTTAATAAGTGAATTAATACAAAATTAATAATGATAAATATTGGTACCAGTGTTTATTATACTTATATAATTTGAAAATCTTAAAATTAAATTAAAAACTATAAAAAAATTTTTGACAGTACAAATTATGATACTTAATTAATATTCTTGATACCAAACATAGTGTCAAAATTAAAATATTGTATTATTATTGTACTCACACTTATTACCCAACTCTACACTTATTACATTTTACTATTGATTCTTTTTAAATTTAACTCATTAAAAGTTTACTATATGTTTGTTACACTAATTGTTAAGCTATTAATTATTGTTAGGCTGTTACTGTTATTTAGATTCATACTTCCTATATTTTTGGGTTTGGTTTTTAAAAATTTTTTTTAACTTTCATTTTGCATACACAAAGTTTAAATGTAACACATGTCATGTATATTCTTTAAATTACATCATGATTTAATGTAAAGGATTACCTTAACTTTTTTAAATTTGACACTCATTTCACTATCATTGTAATAATCAGATGCTAATTTCAACTGCGTGGAAGATAAAGAATCTAAATTCAAATTTTTTTTCAGTTTTTCTTTTATAGTTTCGCGTTTGGCCTGATAGTTATTAATACCTATAAATCAAATCAAAATTAAATTTATACTTTAGAGTAATTAAATAAAATTGATGTAAAAATGAATAAGCCATTATAAAAATGTATCTCTTTAATTAAAATGTTATAGAAAATAAATAAAATACTTATAATAAATAGCTACATTACACAATAATTTAAATAACGACATAAAAAAAGTACTAAATCAAAAAATTAATGTTTTGTTTTTTCATAAAAGACAATGAATACATATCCTGATCTAGTCGAAAAATAAATCAAATTTATGCATAGAATAATAGTTATGTTGAAAACAAAAAGACACTATTCTAAATTCCATGTGGTTCAGATAAACTGTTTTTTTCTTCTGTAAAATTCAGTTTTTATATACTTATAGGCATATAGTAAAAATAACTATTATCATAACAGATAATTAAATGATTTGTATAAAGGTAGAACAAATAAAATAAATTGACAATATGAAATAAGAAATGTATAAATTTAAACTACTACACCTTTTAAACTACTAGTGAAACTGTTTTTAATCAATATGAATAAACAAAAAATATTTTAAATGAGGTATGCAGTGAATTACATTTATATCTAAATTAATAATATATCAAAACATACCAAGTTTGAAACTCTTTTTCTGAATCCCATCAATTTCTTCATCATATTTGCTTAAAACTAAACTAGGCTTATCTACATCCATTTCTTCTAGTTCATCATAGCCACTATAATTTGAGCGTTGTTTTCTTCGATCAATATTCTAATTATATAATTATGGAAATAAGTCATAAAAATTAATTATAAATATTATAATAATAATAATATACCAGCTTATAATTTTCATCATCAATCATATTAACATTAACTAATACATCTGGATCTTCAGCTAACACATCTTTATCTTGCAATGTTAAAATTACATCTTTACCCTCCAAAAATTGATCCTATTTGAAGAATACAGATTATAGTAAATCAAGATATTAAAAACAATATTTAGATCAAATATTTACCATTGAATGTTGAACTTCTAATCCTTTCAAATGCTTACTTGAGTACAAATTACTCATTTCATTCTTTGTACTCTCTTGTATAAGATCACCTACACCAAATACATCATCCATTTCTTCTAACTCTTGAGCCTTATGACAAAATAAAAACATTACTGAAAAATTAGTCCAAACAAACAATAAAAAAATTATGTGATATTTGAAAATCATTGATTACCTTTTTTTTGGCCTTTTCTCTTTCTTCTTGAATATTTTTTGTCTTTTGCACCCAACTAACTGCATCTTCTTCAGAATCACTATCTGCTAATTTTTTAACATTTAACATTTTTGATTCAATCAAACGTTTTTGTTTTCTCTCAGCAATTTTAGTTTTGATTTTGTCAATTCGATTTCTTTCAGTTATACTGGCTATGTATAGGAAAATGTATAAATAATACAGAATATTTTAATAAAAATATATTTTTACCTGCTGGTTTATGAACAAATTCTCCTTCATCACCAGCAATAACTTGTAATCCATCATCTCTATTTTTTGTGGTTCCAATATTATCTACCTGCAAGGGTTTAAGTCCCAATTTAGCTCGTAATTTATTAGTTTCTTCAATAGAAAGACTATCTGATGATGAAGAAATATTTGGAGGTGGTGGTGGTGTAAGACTTGGAGGAGGTGGAGTTCGAGCTTCATCGCGAGAAATTTTTGGCGGTGGTGGAACAAAAATAATATCATCATCTAAAAATATAAAATTAGTCATTAATTAAAAACTTATTTAAAATTAGTGATAATTTAAATATATTATACACCACTAAAACTGAGTAAAAAATAATAAGATAAATCATTAACCTGAACTATGATATTTTTGTTTATCCTTGGATTTATCTTTTTTCTTGTGGTGTTTCTTATGTTTTTTGTGTTTTCCACTAGTTTCATTATCTGAAGAATCACTAGATTGGTGTCTTTTTTTTTTATGTTTAGAAGATAATTCCGAATCAGAAGAATCACTGGAATGATGACGTTTTTTTTTATCCTTTTTCTTATGTTTTGAAGAGCCCATTATTTAACTAATTCAATGATAAAGATCGTAATTGGAAATAATTAATAACGATTTTTTGTAGGTGGAAAACTGAAACTCTAAACAAAAAACGTTAACACAAGTTTTTAATATCTCATGTAGGTGTAAATCAAAGTGTCAACTTTATCAAATTTGTGTAGTGATAATAGTATTATATATTACCATAACAGCGGTTAATTAAAGATGTTATACCAGTTTCAATGAGAATTTAGATAATTTACTCTTAGACGGTAATGATGAAGATGATGTTTTATTTTATAAAAATTGAAAAATTGTTTTCGTTAATAGTAATAAATAACACTTATAATTTTTATTAATTTTTTTATTTATTACCAAAACATTGAAACTATAATATTATTATTCAAACAAACACAAATTCATCCATTTAATATAACCAATTTATAATAATAAAGTCTAGTAACAAAAAAAAATTATTTCTTCATAGTAAATAATAATTTGAAACACATTTGATTACCGTTATGAGATGTAGCTATTAACTATATTTATATAAGTATACCATAGTTGATTTTTACAACAAAGATAACTTTATGATGCTCTTGAAAATACAAAAAAAAATGGTTAAACAATTAAATATTAAATTTCATTTTTTTTTGCGATATTGCAATATAATATTGCTGAAGTTAGATACGATATCGATGTCTAAAAATATATCGTTGACCAACCCTACTGCCTTAAGTGGTCTACTAACCAAACCCAACCCAACCCCCTGTCGATGAGGAGTTACTTGACGACAATGTAGTGGGCGCCCCGGTGACGTACACGTCAGATAACGCGCGAGACATACTTGACGATGTTTTTGCCTTAACCGAAATAAACGTTCACTGGGAGTAATACAAGAATAGCAAAACGAAGACGCATTTTTTTCATCCATTATGAAACAATTAATTACGCCCGAAAAAACGATAACAAATACAAAAATGATTGTTTCATGTCAGACGGGCTTATATGCATTCATACGGTCTTACTCGGGATGTAATACCGATTGAGATAACACGACTATGCACTGGGATAAAAATAAACTTATAGAGCTAATGAATTTAAAAATATAGTTCCTCCGAAATAGATATATATCATATATTTTTGTAATATATTATTATACTTATAATATTAGCATATAATACACGTCTGTATTAGTATGTCACATAATAAAAAGCAATTTTCCCTGTCAAAACCAGTTCTTTCGGTAATCACAAAATAAACAAAATCTGTGACACTCTACTCATGATTACTTAGTTTAACTGTGAATTAACAGTAAAATTTTGTTCTTGGTCACTGTAGACGCAAAATTATAAAAAATGTGAATTCGTTACACAAGTATTATTGATGGTGAATTAAACATTTTACTCATTATTATATATCGTAAAATATGAACTATAATCTCCACAGTAAGCCAATAATACTATTAGGTTACAATTTTGAAAATAACATTATTCAAAAGTTTAAAATAAATTAATATAATAATATTAACCTAACTAATGTATACTAAATAATATTATATAAATTGTTAAGCTATATTGTTTTATATTGCATAATATAATATAATATATTATATTTCTATGCATTACTTTAAAAGCTATAAAAAAATACCCAGCACAATTGATCGTCACACAGTGGGGACGTGGCATAGTTGGGACCTGCATAGATTTAATCTGACAGTTATTAAAATCACTATCATAAGAAACGCTTCGATGCATACCTGTAAATAGTGTTTAATTCTAAGAAATTGGTGGATAATTATAAAGGCAACATCAACTTCAATATCCTTAATTATATCCAGATTAGTAATTCTTAGATTCAAAAATATATAATATATAATTTTTATAATTAATTGTTTTCAAATTAGTATTGATTTTGATTTTTAATATGTTAAAAGTAATCATTTTATTCTATTTTTTTTTTGTGAAAGTTTATAATAAAAAAAAAATTTATTTATTGCCATAACTTTTAGCTCAACTTGCAACATTGAAATAGTATGTTTTTTCACATAATTACACAACAAAATGGCAATCACTTGCATATAAAAGGTCATCGGGACAAATTTTTTTTCTTTAATTTTTGAGGGTAATGTCTTCGACTAGATACGAATTGTGATCTTTTGACATATTGATCATCAAAATCGGTCCAGTGAGAGCTGAGAAAAAGTGGCAACAGACACAAAAATAAAAAAAACATCATGATAAAATTAATACCTTCTCAGCTTCGAATCGAAGCTAAAAATAGTTTTATACCTTTTGATCTAGTTAATATTTAGTAGTACTTTTTTTTAAAAATAACTATTATACTTTTAGACTGTAATAATGTTAGTTTTATTCTTCTTCATCTTCTTCCTCACATTAATCCCAACTACTTGGGGTCGGCCACTCTTATCCTAAACTTCCACTTGAAACGATCTCCCACATCCTTTACACTCACATCAGCTGTCCTCATATCGCATTCAATAACATCCCTCCATCTCTTTTTTGGTCTTTCTTTACCTCTTCTTCTTTCAACATTCATTTCTACAACTGTTTTTACGACTTCCGATTCTTCTCTCCTCATAATATGATCAAATCATCTAAGTCTATTTTCTCTCATCTTATCCACGATTGAAGCTACAGCTATACTCCCTCTTATATGCTCGTTCATTATCCTATCTTTTCTAGTGACTCTACTCAACCTATGCCAACACCGCCTAATATTTTCCATACTTCTACTGGTACTTCATCTGGTCCTACTACTTTATTCTTTTTCATTGATACCACAGCCTCCCATGCCTCTTTCTCACTAATTAAATCTACCAATGTCTCATACCACGATATATCCTTTAATGTCTCCTTTGGATACTCCTCATTCAGTAATTTTTCAAAATACTCTTTCCACCTTTTTTTCACATCATCATCACTCAAGAGTACCTTATAATCAACACCTTTTTGTACGCCATATATAATGATAATCTTTAGACCTTTTCTCTCTTTTTGATTAGTTTAGTGAAGATAATTAACCATTTACGTATAATAAAAAAGCTATTTTTTTTACTTGCATTTTAAAATTAACATTTGATTTATGCATATATTTTTATATATTATTTATTTATATATTTCAAAATATATTATTTAAAATTAAATGAGTCAATTTTTTCGGGGTTTGATTAGTTTATAGTAATTCCGGACTAAAAATCTGTCAAACTAATTCACCCAAAAATAAGACGTCAGTATGGAAATATTGCAAATACCAGTTAAGAAAAACGTTTAAACTATGCTTGTGTTATGTTCACTCAACTCCTGACGAATCGAATGAAGAGGAATTCTCTTCATAATTTTGTAGATCCACAAAGTTGTAAAAAATGTATAACGCATGGAGCACTGTTTTCTGCGCATTGAAAAACGCAATACTTCAATTAACGTTGTATAACTTTTATGATGGTTATATTTTTTTTTCGGATCAATGTCATCATAAAGATGATATTTACAATTTATTTGCCAACATAAGACTTTATCTTGAATTTATAAAAAATAATAATGAGAACAAATTCTCATTTGTTGTAAAGTATTAGGTTTCTTCATGGAAAATAATGCTAAATTATGTGACAGCAATAGTACATGCAAATAAATTGTGGAAACTCCATAGAACAATGATATAAAGTTACATCATTCTGGTGATAAAAATTTTGATAAAGTTTTCAAAAAGAAATCTCTACTTAGTTTTCCACCAATAAAGTCAATCCGTTCATTTGACGCCACAAGATCATATGGTACATTAGTTCTATCAAACGTAGATTCATACCGTTTATCATGTTTGTAATTATTTGTAAATTAAGTAATTAAGTTTAATATTCAATAATAATTAATTAATATGTGATTTTCAGAAAACTGCTTTTGATGGTAGCTTGCAACTGGAGTATTTTGAAGTAGAGAATGCGTACTGTTGTCGATTTTCTAAAAGGAAGTACTTTGCAATTAAAGGTTTTCGGTGGATGAAACTGCGAATAGTTCTGTGCTTCCTCTCGGGTCGGACTATACTAGACATAGAAACACAATAAGCCACAAAAAATTTCTGAAAAACTGCGGATACGAATTTCGGAAACAATATTACCATTATCAACGCTAAACACATACTGACACCACGACTGGAAAAAAACTTTATATACCCCTAGTGACCTTATTACTTAATGACGTTGTCACTAATATTATCTTAATTATAAAATTATAAATTTAGCTAAATTATAAAATTATTTATTTTAATAAAATTAAAATAATATGAGATCTCTTGTGTCGAATATTAATGCTCCAATTTGGCAATTTGGCTAAACACTTAAGGGTATTTTCATCTATTCATAGCTTTTCAGTTAAAAATACTTTTAAGTTTAATTAAGTATTAAATTAATATTTCCTTAGTTCAAAAATTATCTGGTTATACTATTAAAAATAATGACAGGTTAATTTATTTAAACGTAACCTTATTTACGAGTATTCTGATAAATATAGCATTTGGTTTTCTTAAAGACAGCCAGTTTTTAAGAAGGAACAAAACATAGAGCAGGATAAAATAAATGAATTTATTAATTTAACAAATTAATAAATTACAGAAACGGGTAATATCATTTAGCAACTTATAACAATCTTCTAATGAGTTAACTACCATATACATCTTAAGATCGTCGGCAAAAAGGAAATAATTACAGAAACGAAACACGATCTTTAGATCATTCATGAATTATAAAAATATTAAGGGAGATAAATGTCCACCCTGTGGTACACCAGATAGTACACTAAAAGCAGATGACACTTTGTCTATGATTTTGACTTGTTGATTTTTTTCCATTAAAAATGAGCAAATCCATGATAGTAGAGGGTTAACAACGCCAAGAGCATTAAGTTTATTTAATAACAGTTTGTGGTCAACTGAATCAAAGGCTTAATTAGGTCAGTTTATATTGCGTCCACATGTCCTCTTTTTTCAACAGTATCGAATAGATTTGTGACATACACTTACAAATTAGTACAAGTTGATTTTTTGGTACGAAAACCGCGTTGTTCATTAATTATGACACTATTAAACATATAAGATAACTTTGGTTCAATCAATTTTTCAAAAAGTTTTGGTATCGAGCTTAATTTTGAAAATGGGCAATAATTGCATATAGAATTACGATTACCAAATTTAAAGATTGGTATTACAAAACTAGATTTCCATATTTGAGGAAAAGTACCAAGAGTAAGGGACATATTAAACAAAGTGTGGATTGGACGAGCAAGGGCATAACAACATTTAAATAAAACAATTGGAGGTAAATTATCTGGTTCAAAAGTGCAGTCTTGACCCATACTTTAAAGTCTTTCAAAAACTTCAGATAAGAGTATAATATACTCTACATATTATGTAGAGACGAGGCATTAATTATGGATTCAGTTAAAATATTAGTATTATGGTGGGTAATAATAGATGGAGAACTAATGTATACTGACGAAAAATAATTTGCAAATGCATTAGAAATAGCTCGGGTATTATCATAAATAGAGTTATCATATGACATCGGAGATGGAATAAAATTAATTTTGCTGTGCTCTTTAATAAAGCCCCAAAATTTTTTTTTCCATAATAAAGTACATTTTATTAGCTCTAATTTAAGATATATATAAAAGTGTCAGACTTTCTGGAACACTTTCAAAAGATAAGTGTAAAAGTAAATTTTTTGTGAAAAAGTTGTCATTTTGAATCCCCTCCTGTGGGCAGGGTAAAGGGTCAAACTTTTAAAAAACAATATACCAAATGATAGATAAAGACATTATATATCTATAAAAAAAAATTATAGTTAAATTATAGATTAAGTTGTTTTTAAAAAAGTAATTTCGTTATTTCCAAGTAAAAATAAATGACCACTTCTCAGAAAAATGTGTACTCGAGAATGGAGTCCCACAAGGATCCCCCCTGAGCATTCTACTTTTTCAAGCCGCAATCAACAACCTACCTGATGAAATTTCACATCCTGTGAAATCAATTATGTTTGCAGACGACACTCATATTTATCTCAAAGGGAAAAACATTAAATCAATGACACGCCGTCTTCAAGATTACCTAAACGACCTGTCCAACTGGTGCTTCCACTCAGGTTTTATTTTCTCACCAGAAAAAACCAAATGCATCATGTTTACCAAAAAAAAACAAATTTCAAAACCAAAGTTATTTTTGGGAAACACACCTTTACCATTCGTGAACAACATAAAAATTCTAGGTTTGATTTTTGATAAACTTACATGGAAACCTCATATAATTAAGACCAAAACAAGTGCAACAAAAAGTATCAATATCCTGAAAACGTTGAGCCATGTTGAATGGGGAGCAAAAAGCTCCGTCTTAATCAACCTATATAGATCTCTTGTTAGATCTAAATTAGACTATGGATCAATTTGCTATACCAATTCATACCCTAACCTCCAAAAAACAATTGACATAATTCATAACAATGGTCTAAGAGTTGCAACCGGAGCATTAAGAAGCAGCCCCATCCCAAGAATTTTATCCATTTCTAGAGAACCTCCCCTTCATATTCGCAGAACCAAATTAGCTCTAAATTATATTTCTCGCATCCTTTCCTCCCCAGAAAACTCTACATTACCATTTGTGACTCAAAATCGTTTTGCAAATATATTTTGCTCCAATTCAAATCTAAAAAAACCATTGGGTTTAAGGATGCTGTATGAAATGTCGCTTAACAATATCGATCCAAATTCAATTATCAAACGAGAATATAGTGTGGTGCCTCATTGGAGAGTGCCATCCTTTCTCGTGGACACCAATTTAGCTAATTATAGTAAAAAAGAAACGTCAAGTATTATCTATAAAAATTTATTCAATGAAATCATCAACTCTCCTCCGTCAAACCCACAAATCTATACAGACGCCTCCAAAACCAACTCAGGCGTCGCGATTGCTATCATAAATGGCCATCAATCTATATCGTACAAACTACCAGACCATAACAGTATTTATACGGCGGAATACTTTGCACTCCTGGAAGGAGTCTACCTAGCCATTCAATTACCTGATTCAATCACTAACATTTGTACAGATTTACTCAGCGCTCTTAACAATCTTAAGTATAACTGGTACTCAAGCACCCTAGCAATTAAAATAAGCAACATCATTGTAAAAGCTAACAAGTACATACGGTTTATATGGACACCAGGTCATTGTAGAATAGATGGCAATGAAAAAGCCGACCAAGTAGCTCGTGAAGCAGTAAATAACCCTCTGACCGAGATACGCACATACTCCTCACTCATTGACATCCATAGGAATGTAAGCACCTTTTGTACAAATGTATGGGAATCCGAATGGCGGCGTACACCTAATAAAAAACTAAGGGAAATAAAAAATACTACAGAATACTGGCCCAAACCTCATACATCAAATCGCAAAGACGAAGTAGTTATCAACAGACTACGTATTGGCCACTCAAAGATGTCCCATGAACATCTTATGCGCAGAAAAGATCCTGCAATGTGCCAAACCTGCGGAGAACCTCTCACAGTCAAGCACCTCCTTGTCCAATGTCGTAACCATATAGATACCAGAAAAAGATAAGAAATGCCTGATAACCTCTTTGAAGCCCTCAGCCCAACCCATGACAACACCTTCAAAATAATCTCATTTCTTAAACTAATCGATATGTACAACTCAATTTAATCAGCCATTGTATATTTGTATTTAACTAGTTTAAGAAATACTATGTATAATCATATATGTAACCTAATAATTTAATTTTGTTCAAACTAATAACCTTAGAAGTTGAAGCTTAAAAAATAAAAATAAAAAAAGTAATGGTAGTTTTAAGTAAAAAAAATTGAAAACATTTCGAAAATTAACGATTTTTTTGGAGATTTCCCCATTTACAGGGAACGAGGAAACATTTTTCAATTTCTGAGCGTAATGTCTTCGACTAGATACGATTTGTGATATTTTAACGTATCGTTGAAAGAAATCGGTTCGGTGAGAGCTGAGAAAAAGTGGTAACAGACACAAAAAAAAAAATAAATAATTAATTAAACACATCATAGTAAAATTAATACCTTTTAATAGTTTTGTATCGAAGCTAAAATTTTAAATATGTTATTTAAATAAATTTACAGAGTGATTGATTTATCATGGACCACTATGTTTCTTCTAAAATAATAATTACCTTGAAAAAAAAATTTTTAAATAACATATAAAACAGTAACTTATAAATAACTTTAAAAGTATTTAATTAAGTATATGACTGATCAATAACAATTTTTAAACTAGCAGTTCGAAATTTATTAACATACTTATTCTCAGGACAGTAGAAGTTTGCGACCGAAAATGTGTAACGATAAAATCCGATTACTAATATACTACAAGAAAGCTATTCTAGAGTACTAAATTGATAACTACGCAACAAATTTAAGTTCGATTGTGTCCCGCGGGTTAGAAATAACTTCATAAGCAAACTGACAACGTTGCTTCCATAAATCTGCATAATTAAAGGGGACAGAGCATTGAATTTCTTAATGTTTATGAATATCAGACGTTGCCAGTTTGCTTATTGGCATGTATTTTATTTTAATTTATCGCCGTTTTTAAAATATCTGTCCCATCTGCTAAAAACTGTTGTTTGAATTTGTCGCACAAATATATTAAAATTATTGCTATTAATACCGTTCGGTTGAGTTATTTTTCTGTTCATTATTTATTGCTCATTAGTATTGTATATAAATTGTATGTTGTTTATTATATTGGCTTTGTCAATTTGTGATACAAATAAATGAATTTAGCACAATTTTTAGTATATTAAAATTATTATTATTTTTTATTACAAATATTTATTATGTTTGATAGAAGTTATAAATTTTCTTTTTACATATTATTTTAAACTAAATATATATTGTAATTTAATCGTTTATGCACTATAATAACTTTTGATTAAAAATTATAAATAATTGTTTACAAAATTATGAAGTTAATAAATGTATAAAACTGTTAAATGAAAATTGCGTGAAATATTACTAAAATATATATATAAATTACGGAGTGATTGATTTATCATAGACGTCTAAATTTCTCCTAAAGTAGTAATACATTACAACATACATTTTTAACTTGCTTATAAAATATTAATTATCTAATTAAAAAAAAACTGGCCTATAATAACTTTTTAATCAGTACTTGAGAAATTAACAAGTTTTTATAGCTAACGGGTGAAAGAGTGTGGTCATGAAATAATTTTAAGCTATAAAAATAGTTACACTGTTTACTAATACACTTGAGCACTAAGTAGAAACTACACAACAAATTGGCGATAAATTCATTGATTATTTTTAATTTAAAGGACTGCTATTTAAGGAAATAAATACTGAAGTAAATCCAGCTAAGTAGTAAGAGCTCTTGAGTGCTAGTTGTGGTGATGCGACTTTAAATATAATACCACTAGTCACAGGTATAAAAAATTTTCAAATTGAATAAAATAAAATAAAATACAATGCTCATATTATTATTTAAAGGTCGCAGTAGAAAATAGAAATGAAAACAATAATGATAGCTATTATACTATTATAGCAACCGATAACTACGAGAGTACACGTATTAAATCTAAAAATAAATTATCCCATATAGAAATACACTAATATTTTACTGTATCGACGTCGCTGCCGGTTGTCCAAAACCTGTACATGAGATTGCAGCTTAACTGTCCCCGCAGGCACATCATTGCAGCGCCTCGCTTATAATATAAGTTTCAGAATATTGCTGGGACGACGCTGTGGGCGTCCAAACACTGCTCGTGTGTACATGGGCATCCACAAATACTGAGGAAAACAACTTTTATGTTCGCACACAAGTGTATTATAACTATTTGACTATTTAAATATTTGCATTTTTAATAAAAATGTAGAATTAAGAATTTACAATTAATTTTCTTTTTTTAATTAATTTTAGTGAAGGTACGATCGTTTCGTCGTCCAAACCTCGAGCCGCCTTTGATATTTAATTAAATAATTTTTTCTTTTACAAGAACACCACAATAGTTGAAATAATATATTAAAAAATTATTAAAAAGCAATTTAATAAATGTATAAAACTGTTAAATAAAAATTGTGTGAAATATTACTAATATATATATATATATTAAATTGATTTACAATGTGATTGATTTATCATAGTCGTCTAAATTTCTCCTAAAGTAGTAATACATTACAACGTACATTATTAACTTGCTTATAAAATTAAATTGTAAAATATAAATTCCTATTAATAGACCGTTTGGTGAAGTAATTTTTCTATTTATTTGTTGCCCATTAGTATTGAAAATAAATTACATTTATAAAATGTATTCAGTTTGTTATTGTTATTAAGTAATTGATTTATCACTATATTACTACTAAATTTTTTCTAAAATAATAATACTCTTGGTAGTATTTTTTTTGGCTTTGTTGAATACTATTGATCTCTCAAATTACAAGTGATTTATGCCTCTATTTGCGGTTAACCATTATTAAAATAGAAAATGATCTAATATAAAAAATAACTGGTCGATAATAGCTATGGTACCAGTAATTTTATTCTTAGGCAGATGGAAATGAGCAGCCGAAAAATGTTTAATGATAAAAATAGTCATAAATATGTAAGAAAAATAAATTAAAAACTGCACAACAAACAAATTGGCAACAAATTCATTGATTATTTTAAATTCGAGATAATTGAGAAAATTAATACTGAAGACAAACGTGTTAAGTAGTAAGAGCGACGAATTTAAATAATCGGATAAACAAAATTAAAATATCATAAATGTATAGTACAATTAATATATTTATATATATGCATTACGCGAGAGAACGTGACACGGCGACCAAATGGTAAGATACAAATAAAAGATCCTATATTTCTTAATAGTTGCGTTCGATTGTGTCCCGCGGGTTAGAAATAACTTCATAAGCAAACTGACAACGTTGCTTCCATAAATCTGCATAATTAAAGGGGACAGAGCATTGAATTTCTTAATGCTTATGAATATCAGACGTTGCCAGTTTGCTTATTGGCATGTATTTTATTTTAATTTGTCGCCGTTTTTAAAATATCTGTCCCATCTGCTAAAAACTGTTGTTTGAATTTGTCGCTCAAATATACTAAAATTATTGCTATTAATAAACCGTTTGGTTGAGTTATTTTTCTGTTCATTATATATTGCTCATTATTATTGTAAATAAATTTCATTTATAAAATGTACGCTGTTTATTCTGTCGACTTAGTCAATTATTATTATAAATTATTCAAGCAACACTTTTACTAGAATAAAGTTATTATTTTTGTAACAGAAATGTTTGTTTATTTGATAGAAGTTTTAAATCTTCTTTTTACATTTTATTTGAGATTATACATATATTTAAATTTATAATAGTTTAATCGGTTATGCACTGTAATAACTTTTAATTAAAAATTAAAAAGTATAAATAATTGTTTACAAAATTGTATAGATAATAAATGTATAAAACTGTTACTTACAAATTGCCTGAAGTATTGCTAAATGTATATATATATATATATATAATATGTTATTTAATTAGTTTTACAGAGTGATCGATTTACACATTGACTACTAATTTTTTCCAGAAGTAATAATACTATTGGTTTTTTTTTTTTTTTTTATGTCTTTGTTGAGTACTATTGATCTCTCAAATTACAAGTGATTAAATACTTTTTGAGTCAGTCTTTTATCCTTTAAGAATACCAACTTAATAGTTTTAAATAGCAACATAAATTTTTTAACTTGATTATAAAATAGAAAATGGTATAATTTAAAAAATGATTGGTAGATAATAATCATTGGAGCAATACTCCGAAAATTATAAGTATTTTTATAATTAGTCAGATAAAATTGCGCGGCCTAGAAACGTCTAACGATAAAAATAGTGTTATCCAGTAACAAATATATATGGCAATTAAGTTGAAAACTATTAAACAAATTGGCGACAAATTTATTGATTATTTTATATTCATCAATCGAGTTATTGATTTATCATTGACAACAATATTTCTCCTAATAATCTTGAAAATATTTTTTTTGACTTTGATTATTAATATAATGTTAAGCTATAAGTAGTTAAATATTTTTCAAATCTGTTCTTTATACTTTAAGGACACCAGCTTTATTTTTTAAATGGTGATTTACATTTTTAACTGCTCTAAAATAAAAAAATAGTATAATTAAAAAAATGACTGGTAGATAATAATCATTGGACTAGTACTCCGGATGTCATTCTTATATTTAGGCAAATGAAATGCGCGGCCTTGAAACGTCTAATGATAAAAATTGTCACAAATATGCTAGAGCGATAAATTGAAAACTACACAACACATTGGCGACAAATTTGTTGATTATCTAATAAATTAGATTTTATTAACTAGTTGGACAGATATTTGAGAAAATATGTAGTGAAGTTATTGAGGAAAGTAGTAAGAGCGACCAATTCAAATATTCACATGAACAAACTTTAAGTGTCATAAATGTATAGTAAAATGAAATATTGCTTGAGAGAACGTGACTCTGTACCCAAAAAACTGACAACGTTACT